TAGGCGATGCCATAGTTCTAGGGGTAAGGTTCATTGCTTTTAAAAGATTTCCAAGGAACTACTTTCAAAGGCTCCTCTTAAGGTTTTGTAGTCGCATGGTAACACTGCATCATATTTCATTCTTTTAATTTCATTCATATGCCTAATGTTTTTAGCTGAGAGAAAACTAAAAATCAGTGTGCCCACAGCAATTTTTCCTAAAATATGTTCTGTAGACCATCTGGGTCAGAATCACTTGGGCTGTCTCTTAAAATAGTGACATCTGGGTCCCATGCCAGGTCAACTGAATCAGAATCTGTGGATGCAGGTGAAGGACTCTGCATTTCATTTACAAAAAATATTTTTTAATCCAAGAAACACACTTCCAAACAAAGTTTGGAAGGTGCTTCAGAAACCTGCAATTTAAACTTACCAACTGGTCCTTGCACATTCTGATTAAAGAACCATTATGGTAGAACCGAGAAAATTAACTCATTCAAGTGGAACAAAATTTTAATAAACAATACATTATTAATAACTAACACTAAGCACTTACTATCTGCCAAGTGCTCTTCTATATATATGTTATGTGGATTAACTATTTAAATGTCCACAACAACCACTTATTATTCAATGTGAGGGTACTGGGGGCACAGAGAAGTAAGTAGACCAAAGACACATGGTAAGTGGTGAAACTGGGATTTGAACTACAGCTGGGTCCAGAGGCCAAGTTTCTTGTAACCACTACCCTTTATTGTCTTTCTTAAAGCAGAACATTTTACTAGTTTCCTCCAAATTTTTTTTTTGTAGTTTAAGAAATGCTGATTATTTTTGTCTTTTTTTCTTTCTTAAATTGGAGATGGGATCTCAGGGGTCTCACTATGTTCCCCAGGCTGGTGTTGAACTCTTGGCTTCAAGTGATCTTCTGCCTAGGCCTCCTTGCCTCATACCTTGCAGGTGTGAACCACTGTGCTCAACCTGATTCTTAATATTTACTATCATTTTAAGCTTTACTTTGAAACAAATATAAAATCACTGGTGTTTTTTTTAAAGGATAATAGCTGAAAGAATCAAGAAACTATATCATCTGGAATACATAGCTGAAGTACCTATCAAATTAAAAACTTTGTCATGGGCTGGACATAGTAGCCTATACCTGCAATCCTAGAGTTGTGGGAGGCCAAGGCAGGAGGAGCACTTGAGGTCAGGAATTTGAGACCACTTAGACAACACCGTGAGACCTTGTTTCTATTTAAAAAATGAAAACAATTAGCCTGACATGGTGATGTATGCCTGTAGTCCTAGCTACTTGGGAGACTGAGGCAGGATTGCTTGAGCCCAGGAGTTTGAGTTTACAGTGAGCTAAGAGTGCATCCCTGTACTCCAACCTGGTTGACAGAGCAAGACTCTACCTGTGGGGGGAAAACAATCAAAACAAAAAAACACTAAGAAAATATACCTTAAACAAAATTAAAATTCAGGTTAGGCAAATTACAAATTTTTTTTAAAGAATGAATTTTCTAAAAGTACAAGAACCAATCTGAGCCCAGTTAATTTTTTTTTTTTTTTTTTTTGAGTCAGGGACTCACTCTGTCCCTGCATTGCAGTGGTACAATCATGGCTTACCGCGACCTCAAACTCCTGGGCTCAAGCAATCCTCCCACCTCAGCCTCCCAAATAGCTGGGCAGGTATGCACCACCATGCCCAGCTAATTTTTGACTTTTGTAGAAATGAAGTCTCACTATATTATCTTGATCTCCTGGGCTCAAGCAATCTTCCTGCCTCAGGCTCCCAAAGTGTTGGGATTATAGGCACCATGCCCAGCTTGGAACATCTACTATTCAGTCAATGATAGGTGTTCATCTCTGTGATTCCTGAGATGTAAAGTATATTGTTTCACCTTTCCTGAATTATTCTGGTAATGTTAACTTGTATACTTATTTTTTTTTGAGTTGGAGCCTCACTCCAACACCCAGACTGGAGTGCACTTGTATACTTTAAGATGTTAACGTACAATTATTTTACTTCAAAAAACCATCAAGGAAGAATAAGTAATTGCAGCCATTCCTCAGATATACAAATATTTTATATAAGATATATGATTACAATTAATTATTCAAGTTGTCCAAGCTAGTTTTTAGTCTTTAAGATCAAGAAAAGTAAATTTTCAGTATGCCAAAAGCTTTGATCATTAGGTGGTTTTTAGAGGTCTGATAAGCAAATAAAATTTATTCCTACACAAAAATTAATGTGACATGCTTATCTTACGTAACTCCCTCATGTATAAGAATATAGGTAACAAACATTGCAACCTAGAGAAACTGACTAGCCCCAAACCAGTCAGCTAGTTAGTGGCAAAGGAAGTCATTGGATCGCTAATTTTTCTTCTACTTTAATTTTTAATATTTTGTATTTTCCACAGCTGGCCATGGTTTAACATACTGCCATAAAACTAACAGGTTGTTGTTGCTTGGTACTGATGCCTGATACTAGTAATCTACTTTATTGGGAACACTTACCTATAACGCTCTGGTGAATTAACAGTGTGGCTCTATGAAGCAGTCATCACACTGGTTAAAGACTTACTAGTCACATATAGGATATCTAGAACATCTTAGTGCTCTTTAAATGTTAAATAAATATTGAAAGATAAATATTAATTCCAGCAATTTCTTTTGCTACTAACTTATCAGACAGGGTCATGTTTTATAAGATAGCACCATCTACTTCCTATTTATTCAAAAACAATGAATACTTACAAAGAGTTGGGAAGTCTCCGAAGGAATATATAACAGGCTTAATTCTTTTCGTTTTCCAGAATGGAAGATTGTTCTTACTTCATAAAGTATGTATTTTTTCTTATCATAACTCTCTTCCTCTGACAGGGATTTGATAAAGAACACCAAATACTTTCTTTTAAAAAGTAATTAGAGTATTTTTTAAATACTGGCCTGGAACTCATGGGCTCCAGCCATCATCCTGCTTTAACTGCCCAAGTACTGGGACTACTGGCACCTGCCACTATGCCAGGGTAAACACCAAATACTTTCAACCCTTCTGTCATATCCTTTTTTGCCATCCTAGATTTTCTATAGCTCTTCATGTGCTTACACACTGCTACCCTTTCCTCCTTAAGGTATCGAATTCTCACTTATAAGGCCAACACCCATTAGGTGACTACTGTATAACACTTCCAGCTGCTTTACTTAATCCTCCTAATAGCTCGCTGAAGTAGGTACTACTATCTGTTTTTGATGAAAAAACCGAGGAACCAAGAGATCAAGTAACTTGTCCAAAGTCAAAGGTAGTGATGGAGCTGGGTTGGGAAGCCAGTATTCTAACTACAGTCTGCTCTTCACCAGTTACATGGCTTCTCCAAAATAGGTACACTGGAAGCATATAGATGAGAAGATGAAACTCAGTGACCAATGAACTCAAAATCAATTTACTCTTTAAATTAAGACAAGTTAACTCCCAAACATGTACTTTTTCTACTATATCAGAAAAGGAAGTATAGAATGGCTCTGCCACTCAAGAGCTCGATGACCTTGAGTTACTTCTTTGCCGCAGTTTCCTTTATCTTAAAAATGTGGACAATATCACGTACCACATAGGGTGAGAAAATAAGGAAATACTAATAAAGAGCTCAGCGCTTAGTACCTCAGTAAGCACTTATTAATTTCAACCTCTTTTATTGTAAGAAAACAACTTTGAGGAAGCAGTTGTAAACCAAAGGTTAAGGGAATGAAAGTTGAAATTAAGTTGGTCTGGGTTCAAATCTCAAGCAGGTGTCCTCGACCTGCTTGGTTCAGATGATCCTTCCGCCTCAGCCTTCCGAGTAGCTGGAACTACAGGTGTGCACTACCATGCCTGCCTAAAATTTTATTTTTTTTTTAGTTGGAGTCTCACTCTGTTGCCCAGGCAGGAGTGCAGTGGCACATTCATGGCCACCCCAGCATCGACCAGCTGGGCTCAAGCACTCCTTCCGCCTCAGCCTTTCAAGTAGAGAACTACATGCGCGCACTACCACAGCCAGCTAATTTTTTGATTTATTGCAGAGACGAGGTTTCACCGTGTTGCCCAGGCTGGTCTTGAACCCATGGGCTCAGGCAATCCTCTTGCCTCGGCCCTCTGAAGTGCTAGGATTACAGGGAGTCACCGCACCCGGCCAATTTTTTAAAATTGTGGAGACAGGGGCTAGCCATGTTGCCCAGGTTGGTCTCCAACCCCTGGGCTCAGGCAATCCTCTCAACTAGGCTTCCAAAAGTGGGATTACAGTTGTGAGTCACTGTGCCCGGCCATCCTAAGTATTTATGAGTTCACCATCTCAACTTCTTTTTTTTAACCTACTATAAAGACCAGAATAACTGTCAAGAAACATGTAATTTTGTTACCACCTGAGGCTGTCACTTACCAAGTAGTAATCACACATTTTTAGCAAATGGAGCATGAATACAAGCAGCAACCACTCCAAATCACCAGTACAGACAGGAAATGCAATTTTTACCTTATTTACCACATGAAGAACTACTAGAAAATATTGACAGTTGATGTAATCAGGGCATATATCTTCTTTTTGCTTTTAAGCAAAGTTTCTCTTCATTCCTATGTTTTTAAGCCACACAGAATGTATGAGAGCCATGTTAACATTAAACTCATTTACTAACTGGTATCCTGCCCAAGGATTATACTTAGGTAAATAAAGTATATATCAGAACTATTTTATAGACTGTTTTACAAATAAGATTATTGCCAAAGGTGCATTTTCGTTATGTAAAAGTTATAAGTGTTTTGAAGTTTGATTAATGTGCCACAACTGAAATTTTCCTAGAAAACTTGGAAAACTGGAGAATCTTTTCAACATCATCTCTTTTCTCAAGCATTTTCATATTGCTCCTACAGTTCTTAGTATGATCTTAATATAAATTAGATAATAAACTGAACAATAAGCTGAATAAATGTCCTAGCTAATAAGGACTTTTAAAATGTAAAGTTAGGCATTATATAGTAATACAATCACTTTAGTCAAAAAGAAAAATTTATTGATCTAAAAATATTGTCAAAAAGTTTAAGCTAAGCAAAAATTTCATTTAAGCTTAATGCTCTTTTTAACTCCTGCACGAATGCCAGATAATTCACCACTGTAACGCTGCTCTTCTCTACGAACTTCACGAACCTGGCCTCTTCTTCGAATTTTGGCTCTTCTGAACTTCTCCCTGTGTTTCACTCTGGGATTGCGGTCAATCTTCTTTCTCCTAGGAGTAAGTCCCCTATTTTTAGCAATCTGATAGGTAATGGCTCTCTTTGCATTTTGATTTTCAAGTGCCTGTTCTTCGGTGCTGTCTTCTTTCTTTCTCTTTAACCTTTGCCTTTCTTCCATTTCTTTATAGTGTTTCAGTTCAGCTCCTTCGTCAAAATCAGAATCATCAGAAAGGTCTCTAACAGCAGAAGTCTTCGAAACAGACTGTGGTTTGGCCTTGGAGGATAAGGCTTTTGGGTTCAGTTCTTTCTTTACAGCATCATCCTTAAGTGTGAGCAGATAACGAATTTCTGAGGACAGCTTCTCATCCACAACCGACAGCTTATTGATCAAATTTCGGTAGGTAACAAGCCTTTCTATGACAGGATGTCCGTGAGCAGGGACTCTCTTAGCTTTCAGGATCAAATAAAAACTGATGTTGGAGCAATAATTCAAGTAGAGGTTGTACTTGGTCCTCAAGTATTGGCTTCCTTTCCCGGGTGGAATGACCCCTTGCTCCACCAACTGTAACAATGGCTCCAGCTCATCTTTCACCTCTGTTAACTTGACTTTCAGGTCCTCCATCAGCTCCAAGAGCTCTGGCGATTCTTTTCGCAACATTTTCAGCTTCTCTTTCACCGAAACTTTAGCCAAATCCTTCTCGACTCGTGTCTCCGCCTCATCTACCCGAGGGACCGGTTTTGCAAAGGCCTCCACCCAGGCGACCCCAAAGTCATCTTCCTGCAGGGCTTGGGCTAGGCGCCGCTGAAGGATCTGCGCCTCCTCCTCCTCCTCCCTTTCCTCCTCCTCCACTTCTTGTTGACTCTGCCGGCCTCGGGACTTGGAACCGTAGTCCGTGTCGTAATACAGTTTTTTCCTCTGACCCCACGACAAACTGGGATCCACAGAGGCCTCAGCTTCACTCTGCACGGAGCTCCCACCATCATCATCATCCTCACCCTCCTCCGTATCCTCTGCACTCCCTCCATCGTCGTCGTCCTCATCGCCAACATCTAGGGCTAGTACCTCCTCCTCCTCCTCGCCATCCTCCTCGTCTCCGCTCTCTACTTCGTTCCAGCCCCTAGCCAGGGCGGCCTGGGATCGCGCCTCATGAAACTCATCTACCTGGTCCTGGTAGTAGCGGGAGTCCCCTGGTGACGGTGGCAATGCTGCGTTGTCTTCATTTTCGTCCGCGGAAGTGCGGCCCGCCTTGGCTCGCACAGCTGCCCACTTGGCTGCTCCACGCCGCCGGGATCTCCCCACCATGGCTCACCCGCGCTCTCAGGCCCTACAGCGACACCGGACTTTGGGCACGAGCCACGCGCCCCAGCAACACGCCGCTTTTAACGGCCGCGCGCTCGCTTACCACGCGAGTTGGCGGACGCTCGGTCGGACACAGGGGCTCCCACCTCCTTCCGGCTCCCAGCATGCTCCCCGCGTAGCGTGTGAACCAGCACTTCCGTTCGATCTCTAGGCAGGGTCACGTTGACACCCCTTGCCTTTTCGCTATGCTTCCGGTGAATTAAAATCCTTCCGTGTGGGAACAATAGGTTGAGGAAGCTCCGTTCCCGAGAACTCTTTCCGGAGTCTTCCGTACTTGCTCTCGCGAGCCTGGGCGTGGCCGGGGGACGGAATCCTGACAGCATGGCCCGGCAAGGTCATGGGGTCCGGTAGAGGGCGCTAGACTTCTGCGCCTGGAGCTTCACTGCGCACGTGCCCAGCGACAGGGCGGGGAGCAGCGTGTCCGCGGAGGCAGTTTTCCTGTTCCTTGGGTTTGTCAACCTGGAAGGGTCTCAGGTTGCTTTTTCGCCGCAACTTCTAAATAGCACGTTTCGGGACACGGCGGCCTGCGCTGGACCCCACCGTCCCACGCCAGCTCCGGAAGGGCGCGGGCCTCCAACCCCTCCCTGCCCGCCCGACCTGTTACTGGGAGCCCCAGGGGGCACGGGGGAAGGCAGAGCCCCGCTCCGGTGGCAGCAGAGATGGATGCTCTTGAGAAGGGGAGCAGCTCCGCGATTTCTCTCTCTCTCTCTCTCTCTCTCTCTCTGAGGTTATAGTGAGCTCTGCTTGTGCCATCGCACTCACGACATCTCGTTTTGAGTGGAAGGCGAGTTTGGAAGGTGACACGTGCTCGCTCCGAGGCCGCTGCCCTAATGCTCCAGCGCGGATTCCGCGCCAGGCTGGCGCGCCAGGCCGTGAGCCGGGCTCGGGAGAACCCGGGTGGGCAACAGCCTACGCTGTCCCCGCCCTCCTGGAACGTGCGGGCCCCGGGGACGCGCCTTGACCAGGGGATCACAGGACCCTGCCAGAGTGTCACGAGGAGGAGGGCTGTGATGCGCGCTGGGGACCATCCCTCAGCAGGTGGCGGCCCTCAGTGCACACGTGCCAGCCTTTTGGGGCTCGCCATCTCCCTGAAAAAGGGCTTAGAGCTTGGCCTGCCCGGTGGCTCGCGCCTGTAATCCCAGCTTGGAGCCTCACTTGGGAGGCTCACAAGAGGACGGTCTGGGCCCAGGAGTTGAAGACCATCCCGGGCAACTTAGGAAACCTCGTGTCTACCAAAATGAAAAAAAAAATTAGCCAGACCTGGTGGCGCACCTGCAGTCCTGAGGCAGGGTAGCTAGCACAGGTTAGACATAGATAGGTAAATTCTCATAGGCCGATTTTAGGAAGCATTGGGAGATTTTTGAAATTAAATTTTGCTGCAGACCAAGCTGACAGTCTACCCTATGCCCTCAACCAAACAAAAGAAAATCCTATCAGATGTAAAAATAGAACAGCCCAACCTTTCAGCACAAAGGCTCAACCCCTCCCTCTCCCCAGCTTGTTTTATAAACACGTTAACCTCATCAGCCCATCCTGACCTTCATGACAGTTCCCATCACCAGGGCAGCAGTCAGGTGGCTAACCCATCCATCTGCCTGCTGTCAGTGGCGGCGCTTACCGGCCCGTTGGTGCCGATGTGGTCGAGACCACCACCCAATCCCCTTAATGACCTACCCCGATCAAAGGGAAGGTTTAAAAGGCACTCGCCTTCAAACAGCAGCTGCCATTAATTTGTTAAACTGTGGTGTCTCTACGTGGCTCTTTGAGGTATGGCCAAGATATTTTCTTAGCTTGGGCCCCCTCCCCTACTTTGGGGAGATGAATCTCCTTTCTCTCTCTCTCTCTCTCTCCCTTCACTTTCGAAATAAACTTTGCTTGAAAACTTTGCTGGCCACTCTAAAATTCATTTTAGAAACGAGCCCCCAAATCCACAGGTTCTGTGCCGCTCTCCATTGGCGTCAGTCCCAGCTACCGCGGTAGATAGAGGCAGAAGGATTGCCTGAGCCCAGGAGGTCTGGAGAACCACGATGGTGCTACTGCACTCCAGCCAAGGTTACAGAATAAAACGCTGATCAAAAAACCAAGAGTGCTTGCACAAAGTAGGGGTCCAACCGCTATTTGTTTAATGAGTAAGTGTTGAGATTACAGTCCCCAGTGCCAAAAAAAAAGTATACACGTTATAAGTATGACATTCATGCAAAGGATGGTATGAATCAAATGAATACTGGTGTCATCATGCGACAGGCAGGACAGTCAAAATGGCAGAAGCACACGAGCAAATGTCATACTACACATTTCTATACTATGTTAAAGTTTGTGTGTCTGTATCTATACATGGATACATACACACAAACTTTAACATGGCGGCAAAGAGATAGGCACTCAGTAGCTCCTCTCCCAGACAAGCCTATCATAAGTAAAACACCAGGAAGGACTCCCCAGTAAACGAATTATGTTTTGGAGGGCGGGCCCCTTGTAGTCAGGCTTCCCACACTAGCTAAAAGTTCTGGGAACCCACCGGTATCAGTGTACCAGCTAGCATTGTGAGAGGCTGCATTCCACTTCAATGAGTGTGTGTGTGTGTGTGTGTGTGTGTGTTTATTTTTTGACAAACCCTTGTGTCGAGGGCTGACTTTCAGTAGATCGCAGCGAGGGAGCTGCTCTGCTACATACGAAATCCTAACCCAGAAGCAGGTTGTCTGTGAATGGTTTAGCATCAGGTTCCCCACGAGCATGCAGTGCGTGAGGGGCAAGGGGCAGCCACCTTTCCGCCCCGCCCCGAGTCCCCAGATGAGCTCTGCATTGGACCCCGACCAATGCTGGGCAAAGGGTGCCCTGCCACCCACGAGGCATCCGGCTGGCAGGGAAGGGTGGGGGACCGGCTACCTGAGGCCAACAGAAGTTCAGCGGCTTTGCCATATCGTTCTGCCTGGAAGGGATTCTGACTTAGAGGCGTTCAGTCACAATCCCACATGATGAATTTTTTTTTTTTTTTTTTTTTTTTTTTTTAGTCCCACTCTGTCACCCAGGTTGGAGTGCAGCAGCCCTCTCACGGCCTCTGTAGCCTCGACTTGCTGGCCTCAGGCGATCCTTCTCCCTCAGCCTTCCAAGTAGCTGGAACCAACTACTTTCATTTTATACCTGAAGATTTTGCCTTCAGCAAGTATTAACTAAGAATGCCACACACTGTAGTGGATCCAAAAGTGAATTAGCCAGTTAAGCTTGTAATCAAGTAGAAAAGAAGACACGCATGCAGATTGCTAGACTAGAGGGCAGTGTGTGATACAAACCTAGTGCTCTAAGAGATCAGAGGGGTGAGAGATAACCTTGAGATTGTTATTTTGGAAATATTGCTTAAAGAATGTGGCATCTAAACTGGGACTGTAATTATATCCTTGCTTTAAATGTATTAAATTTTCATTCTATCTAAACAAACTTTTAGGCACATAAAAAAAATCAATTGTTCTGTTCATTTTCACTGCAAATTATTTGAGAATGTATAGTCATACTTCAAGACCAAAATGCATATATTATTATAGATAAATTAGAAAAATCTTTTGGATATTTTAAATGGGAATGATTCCATTAATATTATTTAGCTTATACTAAATATTATATTTCCTAATCAGAACAGAGTTGCAATATCCAGTTCAATATCCAATATTCAATATCCAGAGATCCAGAGAGTATTTTATTGATTCCAGATTATTTTTTTTGTTGGGGACAGTCTTACTACCTTCCCTAGGCTGGACTAAAACTCCTGGGCTCAAGTGATCTCCCATTTCAGCCTGAGTAGCTGGGACTACAAATCCATGCCACATCTCTGGGCTTCTCAGATCCTTTTGATAAAGGACAGTTTAAAAGTCAGTTCTTTGATTCCAGCAGCTCTCATGTATCTTTCCAAAGTCTAATCTTAAAATTATTTACCACTTATATAAGAAACTTTTTTGGTTGAAAATGTATATTCCTAAAAAGATGGGTTAATAGCTTTATCATATCATAAATGTATGCCAAATTAAAAACTAAAACACAGAGTCCCCAGAGAAAAAACACATATTGAATAACAATTGACATTCAACGATTGCATTTATAGCAACTACGATTTATCACTAACTTGATTTTTTTAAAAAAAACATTATTGTGGTTTCTGGCTTAAGAATTAGTTACACTCATGTAGGCCAAGTTTTTTTTTTTTTTTTAAAGAATACTCATTTTGTCTTACTCTAGTCCCTGTAGGGAATTTTCTTACTGTGGAACATAGAGGGGTGTGTGAATGACACCCTAGGTGATGATACACTCGGATACTTCTTTCAGGGCCTGTGTTCTGGGTGGTTGAAGTTATTCTGTAAACAGATGAGCTTAAACTGATCTCTGTATCTTCCTGAACTATTGAAGCAATAATAATTAACAGTAGCTAACATTGAGTGCATTTATTATATACAGGTATACTGTTATAAACTCTTGACAGTCAAGGGACTATAATAATCTCTTATTTAGAGAAGAGAAAACTGAGGCACATAGAACTTAAGTGAGGTCATAAAGCTAGTAAGTGGTAGAACTTTCTAGCTTTGGGCCCAGACAGTCCAGCACCAGAATTCATGCTGTACTGTAACTAGCTATTGCTCTATACTGACTGTCAACTGTTCCCTTAATCCCAATTTAGTCTCTGTGGTGCACTGGATCCTGCGTTGTTAGATATACCTTCCTAGAGTACAATTTCTATCACCCTACACCGTGGTTCAAAAACTTTCAATTACTCTCAGTTACTATAAAGATAAAGTTTACAGCAGACATGGCCCTCCAGCCATACTGTTCATTACTCTCCTACTGGAGCCTTCAGTACTAACTCAAGGGCTCTGCTGCACTTTATTCTTCAAACATTGCTCTGCAGTTTCCTTACTTGTTACTTTGCTCATCTTTTCAGAGTTCACATAATTACCTATATTAGAAACATATAAATCATCACAGGCATCTTTTTTGTTAAGATATTCTCACACAGACCCAGTCATAAGGGGACCTGTATGAGGCTGTTGGAAAGTTATTTTTGCTCTGAT